GCGGGGCTGGCGCCCGACGAGCGCAGCCTGTGGGTGTCGCGCGTGGCCCAGATCGCTGTGCTCTGCGTGCTGTCGCTCACCGTGGTCTTCGGCGTGTTCTTCCTGGGCTGCAACCTGCTCATCAAGTCGGAGAGCATGATCAACTTTCTGGTGCAGGAGCGCCGGCCTTCCAAGGACGTGGGCGCCGCCATCCTGGGGCTGTACTGAGGCCGCCCCGGCCCGCGCACCGCCAGCCCGGCCCTCAAGCAGACGAGAAGGGAGACCAGGACCCTCGTGCCCCGCGCGGGCTCTGCCGCCGCCGGGCCGGCCGCGCGAGGGACAGCCACGGACCTCGGGCCCCCTCCCCCCGCCAGGACCGGGACACCGCGGGTCTCGAGGCGGCGGCGCGGGGAGGGACTTCCACACCCGGCTGGCCCTGTGTGCGCCTCGGCGTGGCTGGGTGGGAGAGGTCGTGCGAGGCCGCCCGGGGCCGAGGTCACGTGCGTGGGAGTTTGGGGTGTCTGTAGGTGGGGCGGGGTGGGGGAAGTCGTTGGAGAATCCCAGTCGCTGAGCTTGTTGGCCTGATTGAGCTTTTGAAAAGAAACCTTGTGATAAAACTGCAGCCGTCTGGCTTCCGGTGGCTTCCCACCCGCACCTCGGCGGGGTGTGTGTGCACGTGTGTTGGGATGTGTTGTTGTCTGGGGCAGGGGCGGGAGGGCGGTGTGTACCCCCTGGGCCGCCGGGCCACCTGACTGCGGAGCCCAGGGGGCAGGTCCGGGGCTCCTGAGACCCCACTCCCCCGAGGCTAAGGAGGCTATAGCTCCCGAGGGGATAGGGCTGGTCCCGCAGGGAGAATATTTAAATCTTTGGGAAATTTTAATCTATTCCGTGAGATTAAAAAAAAAAAAATTGAGTGACTTAAGTGCAAAAGGGGCGAACAGCAAAATTAATACCTCAGGACTGTGAACAAATACAATTTAATGGGGGAGGTGGCTAGATCTAGTTACATTACAGGGCCAAAAGCCTCCTCTAAGTGCTGGTTTGGACCCCACCCTTGTCGAGTGTGAACGAGTAGTAGTGGGGCGCTGAAAATATGCCCTTGCTGTCTGGGGAGCGGGGAAAGCAAGTTCAGGTGAAGGCTTTGTGGTGCAAAGGAGCCAGGATGTTTAAAATGCAGAAAAGGCTTCCAAATGCCGCCCTGTGGAGGGAATTTGGAACCTCCCATTATGAGTTGCCTCCTGCTGCCCAGAACCCTGCCACCTCTTGCAGATGCACAATTAACTCAAAGCAGTGTTAATGCCTAAGAACATGGGCACTCACTGGCCAAGAGGGAGTGGGCACTCACTGGCCAAGAGGGAATGGGTGGCTCTGCTGTCTGGTCTGGGGTGGGCTGGGGTGGGTGGGCAGATAGGAGGAAGGAACGCTGGGCTTTGTAGCTTATGTATAGACCCCATTGTCCTAACCCCAGGCAGGGAGGCACCTTGGTGCTTGGAAGATTGGGGGTGGGGGAGAGGGCTCTAATGGATTTCTCCCCAGCCTCTCTTTTGCCACCCGTGGAAGTGAAGGTGAATGAGAAGGAAGATGGCTGAAGCCTTTCTTGGCTTTGGGAAGAGAAGGGAAGGGAACACAGTCCCCTGTCTTCAGCACCGAGTTGCACACCGGGAGAGGGGGCAGTATCTCAACAAAAGCATAGATGGTCTCGGACTAGGAAGAATCCAGAATCTTCCTGGCTCCTGAGCCCTCCTGGGTAGTCAGAATCCTCATCATTGGGACGTGTCCCCTGCCCACCCACCTCCCCACCCCAATCTCAGACCTGGGAGAATTCGTCCAGTTTGACAGGTGAGGCCAGTAAAGGGGCCAGAGACTACTTGTGAAGTGTCCATGGGGCAAAACCTACAATGTGGAGAACATTCTGTTGATAGCTTGGACAGGCAGGTAGTCCAGCGCCATCTGGGGAGAGCAGCCTTGAATGATGTGGGTAGCCTGTGTATCTGGCCTTGTGTAGCACAGGTGTCTGGAGCCTGGCTGACCCAATGCCTGCAGGACTCAGCTCAGACAGACGCAGCGGTTCCCTTAAAACCCCAAGTGACTGGTAAGTGGGGGTTCCAGGAGGAATAGAGGCTTAGACACTTTCCTGGCTGACCAAGTGAGAATCAACACTGTGAGAACTTTCCTCTACTAACATGGATCTGCTGCTACCTGTGACCAGGGCAAGAGCAGGGCATTCAAGAGTTAAGTTGCCTGAATTTGTTGAAAAAGGAAAGCCTTAGTGGGGAAGCCTTGTTCTCACTGCAAGAAAAAAAAAAGGCCAATGAAGACATGTCTGTGTCCTCACATGTGTATTGGTGCCCTCCATCCCATGACTAGTAGACTCGCATGTACAAATACACGGGCACATGTGCATGAGTGTATGTTCACGCATGCACGCACACTCAAAGACAGGCTCCAGCGTCAAGGAGAACAACAGCGAGTTCAAGTGGGGTCCCCCAGTGTTTGCTGAGCTGTCTTATATAAAGCGTGGGGGCAGGGGAGCGGGAAACACAGAGTTACGTAAGAGCATATGAGGTCTGGGCTGCTGGGAAAAGGTGAGGCTGGATCAGAATCCTGAGCCTGGAGCTTGGAGGATGGAGGAGGGACCTGCTTCTCCAAAGTCTTTTCCCCACCCCTACTCTCAGGCAGGGAGAGCTCCTCTTACAAGGCCTGCCCAGGAGGCTGGGGCCAAATCTCCAAAGGTTCCAGGTTCACAAAAGATGACCTGGGACCCTGGTCTTTGAAATCTTAGTTGCCATGCTTCCTAGCTCTGTGACTCTGGGGAAGTAACTCAACCTCTCTGTGCCTGGGTTTCCTCATCTATAAAACGGGAAGCAACCAACCCCAGAGCTCCCAGGAAATGATGTGTGTAAAGTAGCCTGACATGTAATAGATAATAACGTGATTACCTACCATTATTATGATCATTGTTATTTTGGTTTATTGCATGAATGTTTTCCCTAGCCAAATATATTTGGTTCTCTGAATTGAGATCCTTGGACAGAAAAAGTCATTCATATATGCAACGTATTTTGTCGTTTCCAAAGCACTTTCCTAAGCAGGACAAAAATAATGTATCATGTTAATAAGGTCTTAGTGTGTCAAGCACTGAGCTCCAGTCCTGTGAGGAGGGTTTCATTATTACTCCCATTTTGCTGATGAAGAAACTAAGGCTCAAAGAGGTTGCCTGACATCACATAGCTAAGAACGTGCCGAGCTAGGATTCACCCCTGCCTGTGTGACCCCAGACTGGACTCTACGTGGTCCTGTTTACTCTCCACAACGGCTTAGTGAGTAAGCGAAGATATTCTCCCGTGGGCGCGTTTGTAGGAGAGGCAACTAAAGTTCAGTTAAACAGGCCTGCCCAAGTTCATTCCCTCACCCAGGGTCTCTTGTGAATCCCCTGTGGACCGGGTTCTGCACCAGGCACCGGGGTGAGCAAGGGGGTGGCAGAGCCAGAGTCTAGCTCAGCCTAGGGCCCACGGAGCCCCAGATACTCACATCCCTTCTCAGGGCCACTAGCCCTGGGGCTGGGTGCTGGTTCCAACAATATCAAGGACTAAGACCCTCTGCTTCCCTCCCTCTGAGTCAGGGATGCAATTTCTGGGGTCAGGTGCCCTCACTAGCAAGACAGCCCCTGGAAGGGGGGACAGAGGGAGCGCTGACCCCAGAACGACTGCTCACTTCCCCGCTTGTTTGTTGGAGCTCACTTCACACGTGCTCAGCTTGCTGCTGGGAGTCCCCCTCCCTGAACCTCCCCAGACCCCAAGCCAGCAACAGACCAAGAGCAGCCCCGAGCATTTAGGGAGGTTTCAGAGGCAAAGGGTGACATGTGATGGTTATGGGTACACACAAAAATGGTCCACAGCGAGCATTCCAAAGTGAGGGAAAAGACATATGGGTGCACATGCCCGCGGGAACATGCATGTGCGCCCGTGCACGCGCACACACGCACGCAGACTCATGTTTTATACAAAAGACTTTAGTAGGATTTCTGAATAGCAGCCCTTGAGTGCAGCTCACGATTCCCTCTTGGTAATCAAGGTCACAAGAGGTATTCGGGATGTCCGGATCCCTGACCCCCAGAGGCCAGCCAAGCTTCTTGGCCCTGAGGCAGCACTTGCTTACTCTTGCAGCCATATGCCTTTAAACTCAGGAACCTGCAATTCTAGTCCATAGATAGAAAGAGCTTAATCCACAGGGAACACTCTCGAATTTTCGGGAGAAAGAAATAAAGCAACAGTCAGAAAACTAGTTCTTATAAGACCAACATCTGGCTTTCTGTGTGTTCTACCATCTTGGAGGAGCCAAAGGCCACATCGGTGGGGCCCGGTAGCCCTCCACACGTGGGCTGACCCAGGCGGACAGGCCAGAGGACACCTCCTGACACAGACACCCCTGTGGACACTTTGAGTCTTCCTTTGCACCCTTCCTTGTGCTCTGTTCCGCAAACCAGATTACGATGGTGGTAAACTATCTTTTTCTCTTTTTAAACGGTCGCTTTGCTCCTCGCTTTCAGGGCATTATCTAAATTCGTCCTCAGAGCAATCCTTTAAGGCAGATATT